TTTTTCCCAAGAGAGAAGCAGAGAAGCAAGTAGCTCTGGAAGGGGTAGACATGGTTGGACAGGAGAAAGGTAAGTTAAAAGAATGGTACAGGTGAGGGATACTGGTAAGGCACTCCCTGATAACCCAAGGGTCAACACAGTAGCTCCCAACGACGAAAATCCGCACAATAGGGCCCCAATCCACGAAGTGGGGAAGAGGGGAGAAGCAGCAGTTTCGGTTCCAAAGATAAAAGAACCGATAAGCCCAGAAATGCAATGACCACCTCGAACTCGGGGGATCCAGGATAAAAAAAGGCAAAAGAGGAGGCAAAAGGGGCATACCTAGTTAGGAAAGAACAACAGTCTAGAGCGAAATAGAAGAAAGAAGGCAATGCGAGTCTTCAAATCGAACCCAAGAAACTCGATCTTGAGTATAGAATCGGAGACCTTCAAATCAGAAAACCAAGAGACCACGAGAAAGACAACAGAGAAACCAAACAGTGGAAAAGGACGGTTCTGATGGAGTATTTAAAGCTTGAGAGATGTGGGCTGGAGCGTGCGCGGGAACCAAAGAGACCATGATTGCTAAAAATCGTCAAATAGACATCTATCACGTGCAAGCCAAGGACGACCACGTGGAAGCCCAGCTTGGTTTAAAAGCAGCTCAGCCCCTGCCCAAGCTCACTTGAACCAGGGGCTGGGGGGGCAACTGATGATACCTCAAATAAGCTATAAGAGCGAGCTCAGGAAACAAGGTCAGGTCAGGAGGTCCAGTAGGATACGAGGAGCTCAGAAGCTTGGGGCCAGAGTTCCCCCTGGGGAGATAATAGCGGAACTGACCAGGGAACAACTGGATAACTACAAAAACTGGGTTTAAAGCATGAATCTCTCAACTAACCAAGATTCTCTCCTAAAACCAAGGAGAATCCCACTAATGGTAAGCAGAGATCTCGACTCAAATCCGATAGAATGGGGAATAGTCCTATAAATGCTATGTAACGCCTCCATAAAAGAGAGAGAGAGAGGGAGAGAGAGAGAGAGAGAGAGAGAGAAAGAACCCTAATTTCAAGATATACCGAATTGTAATACATTAGGGTGGTGAATAGAAGAGCGGGAGCAAGAGCCTCCATTGAAGAAGTGGACTAGCCGAGCTTCTGACCCGATGAACATTTTTTTATATTTTATTACTTTATCATTTTTTTCAATAAATGGTTTCTGATCCCATTCAAAATGAATGACCGAGATTAATAGAGATACATACAGTACTGAAGTCGGTTCGATAGCCTTACCCAACATTTTAAACCAGGGTTGGCTTAAAGGTCATTTATATGTACTGGTAACAAAACAGATTCAAGCATTTAGCTCTGTTGGCATGCCAGGAGAAAACAGGACTGGTCTGGAACATATTTATGGAGTTCAGCTTACGAAGAGAAGAAGAACCAAAAGTAAGAAGAGTGTCATTATTTGTGTTTTGTTTTCTTTTTTTCTCGATAAGTTGATACAAATATTGACATAAACACGACGACACAAATTAAAAATAACATAATCTAAAAATCACACGATTAAACATCTCAATCGAACATATTTTATACGACACGGTTCATTTATATATCAGTTACACGCGATATATACACAATATAGATCTGATATAACACAATTCATTATACATGAATCAATAAACGAATCAAGTATGAGTAGAATATTTTTTAATATAAGCCCACTAAGAAGACACGATTGATAAATTTAATAGTCATAGATTATTTGATTCAAAATGAATAACTGAGATTAATAAAAATACATACAGTACGACAAAAAAAAATCAGTTTCCGAGGATGGTTGCCCTCTCTAGAAGCAAATGATTTCACCAACCCCAAAATCAACATCCCTCTACCATTGCAACCAAAAAAAAACCAAAATAGTTTCTGGGGTCGTTGCCTCTCTCGTGGCCAATGATTTCACCAACCAGAAAATCAACATCCCTCTACCATTCCAACCCAAAAAAAAAAACAAAACAGTTTCTGATGGTCGTCGCCTCTCTCGAAGCCAATGATTTCACCAACCACAAAATCAACAGCCCTCTTCCAACCCAAAAAACAAACAAAACAGTTTTCAAGCATTTAGCCCTGTTGGCATGCCTGGAGAAAAGGCCATGGAAGGCCACATACTTTCTTGGTACTATAGGCCCACAACAATAATTATTCCAAATAAGGAAAAAAAAACCCACCATGAGTTTAGTACAATTGACATTTTTTGACATTTCTTTCTTAAAGGTCAAGGTTTTAAGTTCGGTACGAGATTTTTGTGATCTAGGTCCCATCTTGCTAGACACTTAAAAATGGACTAATATTATACCTCAATGGAAAAAAATAAAAATATCTCAAACCAATATCGGCATTTAATTCTGTCCAATGCTACATTTATGGCTCATCAACCCATTACCCCTAATTTCTAAATATTTATTTAATACGACAACGATATCACATCATTATCATATCACTATAAAACATTAAACTATTACTCGAGAAATATAAACTTCACATAAATTATGAAATTTATATGAGTGTGACGTTCATATAAGGATTGTTTAATAGTGATATGACTTGTTAAGATGGAAATGTATTAAATATTTCTCAATTACCACAAAAAAAATGGTATAAAATATTTCTCAATTACACAAATTTTATAGAATTAATAATATTTTTTGTCCTTAAAGTATATTTTTTTTTTCATATTAGTTTTCATTATATTAATTTTGTTAATTTATTCTCTAAAATATTTAATTCGTGTTATTTTAATCTCTGCATACACGAATTATTAAGTTTTTGATAGAATGATCACTTAGTCACTTCCATCAAAACACTTGACGAATTGTTTGATTAGGGACCAAAATGACACGAATTAAATATTTTAATGACTAAATTAATATAATGAAGATTAAATTAATAAAAAAAATACATATTTAAAGGATAAAAAAAATTATTAATCTCATTTTATAAGAGTATCTCCAACCCGACTCTAATTTAAGTTCAAATTTAAATTTTAGTCTAAATGGTCTAAAAATATTCTCTAATTTCGAACTCAAACTTATATCAAATTTATAAAAAAAAAAAAAAAAAACTTTTTTTAAACTCAAATTAAAAAAAAAATTAAATTCTATACCAAATTTTTAACCATAATTTTTTGTCCTATCTAAACCGCTCCTTCGACGCTAGATGCCTCTGCCAGCCTTCAAAGTTTCGTCCTTTTCATGTGGGGTCCTTTGAAGATGAAAAGCTGTAGGTATTCTTTTTTCATATTCCATCTTCCACCTTTCTTGATTTATTATCATCTTGACATCTTCCACTGTTTTCCCGCGGGTCTTTTTTTTTTTTCAAGCTATGATTTAATATTCATGGATTTTTGTTAAGTATGAATATTTTTTTTTTCTCCACAATTACCATGATTATGGATATTGCTTCTCCACTTTAATCCTCTCAATCAATCTTTAAATAAATGAGCTATATTTACCGAAATAAATTTTGTGATTTGCAAGTGCTCTTGATTTTTGAGAATACAAAGACTTTGGCGATGAATATGGTGGAAAAAATTAAAAAGAAAATGAATTTTCAGATAATAAATAAATTTTTAAAAGATTTGAAATAAATATTTGAATTTATCTCTATATCAAATCAAGTATTTTTACTCAAATTTGAGTTATGATTGAAAATGCTATATTACTTTACGCTCTGAAAAAAATTTAAAAATTTAAATTCTTTCATTGCAATCTCAATCGAGTAAAAGCTAGCAATCTGTAATAAAACCAAACGCATGTCACTTTGTTTGACAAAATTTTTTGCTATATTTTAGATATTTTTCTATTTTGTATTCAATTATTTCTATATTATTTAATTTAAATATTTTACATGTGAATTTTGTAATAAATTTCATTAGAACAGACCACATTATACTTTTTATTTAATAAAAAAATACAGTAAGAGAATTTTAATTTTTTAAAAAATATAAATAAATAATTGAGAAAAAAATTTCAATGATATCCCTTCTAGATTAACTTATCTTCATAAACATCCTCTTTATTTTTTAAATTTTCACTAAACATCCCTTCCAATTCATATAACTGTTTCACACACCCCACCCCCCCCCCAAAAAAAAAAAAAAAAAAAAAACCCCCTAACCTAACTTTACGGCTATGGACCAACCACCTAACTTTACGGTTATGGACCACCCAAAAAAGGCCGATATCATTCTAGGTTGTTTTCAAAATACCCAAATTACCCATGTCTTTTTCACCTATCCTCTTTTTTTGGCACGAACATATAAATGATAGGACTTATTAACAATAACATGAATTAACTATTAACATGTTTAACAAGTATTAAAAAATAAATGTCAATTTTTTTGTTATTTTTTTATCAAATATTGATAGAATCCTTATACAAAAAACAGAATTTTTTATAGTTTTATTATTATATTTAACATTTTAATTTTTTATTTATGAAAAAATATGAATATGAATTCCATTAAGAGAAAATAAAATCTTAAACTTCAATTTTAGTATTTAATTTTTATTTAATGGTTTTATGAGTCAACACAAACATGATATGAAAATAAATAGTTCAAGTTTACACATCACAATTAGTTAAATGAATTGAGTTCGAGTACACAACACAATTAATTAAATAATGAGGTATCAGTGAAGATTTAAAAAATAGAGAGATGTCTTTACCGATAAGATAATCAGGAAATTTAAAAGGAATGTGTACGAAATTTTTTCAAAAATTTAAAAATGTTTTGGGCCGCAAGGTGTCATTCGGACCAAAACTATAAAAAAAGGCAGTGGCAGAGTTCACGCAAGCCGCGTGCCGTAAATCATCCAATCATTTAGGGGCATTAATGTCATTCCATCTCTCACCGATGGTTTACAATGAGTCGCTCTCTCTCTCTTTCTCTCCCTTCCCTGATGCTTTTGCATGAATCAATGCACCACAGACCATATATATATGCGGAGACAGCGCTCAAGTCTCTCATTGTTTCTCGCAAGTCACCGTGCTTTGTTCTTCATCATTGCTTGCCTGAGCTTCTCTTTCTCTCTCCGAAAATCTGTTTCTTTCTCTCTCCGCCTTCATTGATCTTGATCTGAATCAACTTGTAAGTTGATCCAAATCCGATGAGTCTTTAGTTTGATTAATGGAGCAAATTTCCGGCATTGAATGAGGTTATCTGTGATCTGTGTATTCTGCGATAAGGCTAGATCTGTTAGCAAATCTGTTTAGTTCCCGTATCTCAAGTGCTATTACATTTAGTTTATCCAATTGCATTGCTTAAATCGATCTAGATCATGTATATGTAGGATTGTGGCTATCAGTGTGCGTCTATGTGTATATAGGCTTTGAAGCTTGATGGATTATGCATAGTTTTTGCATATTGTATTGGATCTTGAGAATATGAGGTGGATTTTGATTGTTTTGTTTGCATTGAATTCGAATGTCGGTGCTTCTGATATTTATTTAATTATGAAGATAGATTGTTTCTAAGATGTTTTAGTACTCCTCTTCGATGGGTTTTTGCACTTCTCTTTTTCTTTTTTGGTATTTTTGATTTTGATTTTGATTTATGGTTCAGTAGTTAACTAGTTCCCCTTGAGACTGGATTTCAAGATGGGACCGTCTTGTGGGCTGGATGTAGTTATGAATGTTATATGATGTTGTCGGTGGCTACATTTATGTGAAAAATGCTATAACTAGGTCTGTGATTTTTTTACTCAATTACATACTATATACTATTGGAATGATGACGGTATACGTGGTTCTTCCCTTTTTTGATTCTGCTCCCCCCTTTCCCACCTCCTTTTGTTTTGCTAGGGTGGGTGTAGGTGGGGCCCCGAAAGAGAAGAGGGGGGAGGGGGTTGAGTATGTCAATGGTAAGTTCAACATTGTCAGACTTTGTGTTTTGAAACGTGGATCTGAATTTAGATTTGTAATTTGTGTTATGTAGACACTGATTTGATATGGCTGCGTATACCCCCAAGAACATCCTAATCACTGGCGCTGCTGGATTTATTGCATCTCATGTTGCTAACCGGCTTATCCGAAGCTACCCAGAATACAAGATAGTCGTGCTTGACAAGCTTGATTACTGCTCAAATCTTAAGAATCTTTTTCCTTCTCGGTCATTCCCCAACTTGAAATTTGTTAAGGGGGATATTGGCAGTGCAGATCTTGTCAACTACCTTCTCATTACCGAGTCGATTGACACCATAATGCACTTTGCAGCTCAGACCCATGTCGATAACTCCTTTGGAAACAGCTTTGAGTTTACCAAGAACAACATCTACGGCACCCACGTACTTCTAGAGGCCTGCAAAGTCACAGGCCAGATCAGAAGGTTCATTCATGTAAGCACAGATGAGGTCTACGGTGAGACTGATGAGGATGCTGTTGTAGGAAACCATGAAGCTTCGCAACTCCTTCCCACAAATCCATATTCTGCCACAAAAGCTGGTGCAGAAATGCTTGTTATGGCTTATGGAAGGTCATATGGTCTACCTGTGATAACCACACGAGGAAACAATGTTTATGGCCCCAACCAATTTCCTGAAAAATTAATTCCAAAGTTTATCCTCTTAGCCATGAGAGGGAAGCCTCTTCCGATTCATGGGGATGGTTCTAATGTGCGGAGTTATCTCTATTGCGAGGATGTTGCTGAGGCTTTTGAAGTCATTCTTCACAGGGGTGAAGTTGGTCATGTGTACAATATCGGGACAAAGAAGGAGAGGAGAGTGATTGATGTCGCCAAAGACATATGTAAACTTTTCTCAATGGATCCAAAAACCAGCATCCAGTTTGTGGAGAACAGGCCATTTAATGATCAGAGGTACTTCTTAGATGATCAGAAGTTGACGAACTTGGGTTGGTCAGAACGAACTACATGGGAGGAGGGGTTGAAAAAAACAATGGAATGGTATATTAACAACCCTGATTGGTGGGGTGATGTTTCTGGAGCATTGCTTCCTCATCCTAGAATGCTGATGATGCCTGGGGGGCTTGAGAGACATTCTGATGGGCCTGAGAAATGTGATTCTGGATCTTCTGAATTCTCGGATAACTCTAATCAGACACGCATGGTGGTTCCAGTTTCCAAAAGCACCAATTCTCCTCGGAAACCACCCTTCCAGTTCTTGATATATGGTAGGACTGGGTGGATTGGTGGTCTTCTTGGAAAGTTATGTGACAAACAAGGGATTCCATACGCGTATGGAAAGGGGCGTCTGGAGGATCGGTCGCAGCTTTTGGCAGACATTCAGACAGTTAAGCCCACACATGTTTTCAATGCTGCTGGTGTGACTGGTAGACCCAATGTTGATTGGTGTGAATCTCATAAAACGGAAACAATCCGTACTAATGTCGCTGGTACCCTAAACTTAGCAGATGCGTGTAGAGAACATGGACTCTTGATGATGAATTTCGCCACTGGGTGCATATTTGAATATGATGCTGCCCATCCAGAAGGTTCTGGCATTGGGTTTAAGGAGGAAGACAAACCCAACTTCACTGGTTCTTTCTATTCAAAGACCAAGGCCATGGTAACATTCTTAATTCTTTATGTAGCTGACTTTTATGGAACTCTATATAAGGGTATGTTTGATACACTTTGTTCTATTTTTCAACCAGGTTGAAGAGCTCTTGAAAGAATTTGATAATGTTTGCACCCTCAGAGTTCGAATGCCGATATCTTCAGATCTCAGCAACCCACGCAACTTCATTACCAAGATTAGCCGTTATAATAAAGTGGTAAACATTCCCAACAGCATGACCATATTGGATGAGCTTCTTCCCATCTCAATTGAGATGGCAAAGCGGAACCTCAGGGGCATATGGAATTTCACAAATCCTGGAGTCGTTAGCCATAATGAGATTTTAGAGATGTACAAGGAGTATATAGATCCTGACTTCAAATGGGCCAACTTCACACTGGAAGAGCAAGCCAAGGTGATAGTTGCCCCACGAAGCAATAATGAGATGGATGCGTCCAAGTTGAAAAATGAGTTCCCTGAGTTGCTACCAATCAAGGAATCATTGATCAAGTATGTCTTTGAACCCAACAAGAAAAGCTTGGCTGAGTAAGCATATCATAGGGTTATACGGCTCAGAGATTAATCTGCATTGTGCATTGGGCTATGGTTTTGATTGTCTATTAGTTTGAGTCATTTATTCTTAGCTTCACCACATCACTTCTGTTGTTCTAAAATGTTCGATAGTTACTAGGATGGTTCTACTCGGTGATATTCCCTCATTTTTCTAATCAACTCTTAGTTTGCACGACGGTCCTTTGTACAAGGAATATACTAGTGGGCTCTTCATTAGTAGACTTATCTTCTGCGAGCCTGCAGGGTTGCAACTTTTGATTCTGATATATGAATATGTTTTTTCTTATGTTTTGTTTCAATTATTTTGTGAATCATATTTTTTTCCTTCCCCCTTGGATTTCATTCATTCTTTGAGGATAGTCACTGGTTCCAGCCTGCCTTCTTGGGAATCAATTGCAAAATATCAAAGGCTGTTTGATGTCTGGGTTGTATGTGTTTCTGGTTGGAATTCAACGTTCGCTCATATAAATTAGGATTCCATTTCCTACTACCATGGCCAAAAGGAACTCCGGTCTTCATCATCTCTTTCAAATTGATGTTTGAACGTCTTCAACAAGTTTTGTAATGAGCACAACAACCCTACTGTTCCCGATAGAGAGAAGAACCTCAATACCCAATTGATTGATCTGCAGGGAAAATAGGGATGGAAACGGGATAGAAAGTGATTTTCCTTTTCAATTTCAGCTGTTTCGACATTGCATTGTTTTTTTTTTTTTTGGCTTTGGAATTGTGATGGTTGTCTATCGTACAAAGGTTTGAACTTTGAAGAAGTTGAACTTTTGGAATGTACAACCAAGTCGAGGACCAAAATTTCGTTTTGAAACAATTGAAATGTTTTCGTTCTTGTAGAAATCGAGTTGATGGATATTGAAATTTTTAGATATTTCATAATGTTTTGATGTGTTTCGGTATGTTTCAAGTGCTTCAAAAATTCTGTTTATCTCTATTTTTTATTATGTTTATGAAATATTTTGGAAATATTTCTGTTTCACTATCAACATAAACTATATCGAAACGAAATTTTGATTATTACAAAGGATTCAATAATAATAAAAATGCATATTTAGAAGAGCACTCACCACTTGTCTCCAACAACATGAAAACTGACCTGCATGAGGGAGGTACCCAAAAATTCATGTACACCAAGTCTAGTCTTATACTTGAGTTATTCTTAATTTGTGGGATTGTAATAAGAGGCCATGACACCCCTCAACTTTTAAAAATTATATACCCCTAGAATTATATTTTTGAGCACATTTTATCTGCCACTCAAATTCTTAAAATTATACTTTATACCTCAAATATAATCTTGGCTTTATTTTATCGATTTGATCACATTGAACCATTAACTTTTGAAATTGTGACATTTTGCTTATATCATTAAATTTTTGTATTGTACAAATCTATAAATTTTAGACTATTTTAAATAATTAATGGTGAAATATGTTTAAACCAATAATGTAGTGGTGGTAAAATGAAATTAGTGTCATAGTTAAGAGACAATTATAATATATTCAAACACTATCTATAAAAAGTTCAAACTGTTTAAAATATGTGTTTTAGGGATGTGTTCTCTCTCCTCCTCCTCCTCTCTCTCTCCCTCTCTCTCTCTTCACATATGTCAAAATTATGATGAAATTTAGTTGCACCCCTTTCAAAAAAAAGAAATTTAATTGTATTCAAGTAATTAAATGACGTGAAAAGAAGAAATAGACAGAGAACAGAATAAAGAGGATCAACAAAATTGGTGGGCATTTATAAGATGGGGTCTACTTGTCGACTCCTGGGCCATTTGAATGCAAAATACAAACAACCCACGTCCTGCAAATTCATGTTTAAAGCATTCTATGTCAAAGTTGATGAAAACAAAAGAAAGCAACAGCCGGAAGTATTTGTTAGAGGCATACAAGTACAAGTATAAGACACCCACACACCCATTTATAGATATTGATAAATATCCCCCAAATTAGGATTTTTAGTTAATGCTTGATCTTATTTCATACATCTGTCTTATGAAACAAGAAGAAGTTATGGTCCGGGAGGGATGAAAATATCAACCGCTTATCAATCTATCAATCTATCGCTATTAGTGAGAAAAGGTGTGACGTTTTGCTGTGAAGAATACTTATGAATACGATAACTTTGAGAAGATCGAGCCAACGCTCTAGTAACCCTTCTGGTGCTGTTCAAGCGATTATGTGTGCTGACTTGATGCAAATACTACAATTGCCCTTGCCAACAGCATACTATGGCCTCTGATCCATTATCATGGACTTCCACAAGAAGATGATCTCGCCACTACCAGAAGTTTTTCAATCACAGTTTGCTGCATATACAAAAGCAAATCAAATTCTGGCTTACTCACACCCACCAAATCAAAATATTTGATTTGCTTTTTTATATGCAGGAACATGCGATGAAATTTGGATTAATTTTTTTGAAAATCTTGATTTTTCAGGTGGGTATTACAGCAAATGGGTGCCCAGTTTGGCTGAGAGAGCAAACCAAAGAAAAGGGGTCTTATCGGGAAAAAGAGAAAGTAAAAGGGAAATCCAAAGATTCTCTGTGTGTGTGAGAGAGGGAGAGAGAGAGCAAATACAAATGAATATTTGAGTAAACTTTAAAGGGTTTTTCGCAATATTCGGAAAAAATTTAACATTCTTACTTTATATCTTTAAATTAAATTAAATTATATTAAATTGGTCTAAAGAAGAAAAAAAATATATTATAATTAAAAGTTATTTTTTAAAAAAAATGGTTACTAACCAAATTCTGAGACAAATATTAATACGAAGGTCATTTGGCAAAATTATATGATTAACCAAATTCTACCAAAATTCTTTAAAATTAATAACTAATAAAATATTTTTTAAAAAAATAAGGCTAAAATGGAAAGTTATAAACCAAAATTTTTTTGCATTTCTTTGTGTTTTTTGCAAGAAAAAAAAGTGGGTTAGTTGTGAACAAATTTAAGTGTGAAAGAAAATTATTTTTTTTGTCATTTTTTATTTCCTACTAAACAAACACATGAAAATTTTAAAAACTCTTTTTCTTACATGTTCTATCATTATCCCGTTAAACAAACGAGCCCTCAAGGAAGGCACATTTTTTTTCTAGTTCTTAATTTGGAAACGCATTATTTCTAGATTAGATAATTTTTTGCTAGATTTTACGCCATCAAGTGTATTTTAGTTCTTGAGAGAATACAGGTGATGACTTTAGTTGAGAGAGTTGGGCATGTCAATCCAAACATAGCAAGATTGATAAAAAAAGTTCAAGTTACTATCATTAAATCTGACACGACTAATTGCATGGATCAAATTTATATTAATTAATACAAAACACGAATCTAAATACATCACAATCCAATATGACTCGACACTTTATAAAGCCTCTCAGAATTTGATTGATTGATTTATTCTTTTTTTAAATATGACAGATGAAAACTTACATTTAAAGAACAATCAACACAAAATTCCTTTATGAAGAAGAAGAAGAAGAAGGGGGGTAGCATTGAATTGTAGCTTAAGCAAACAAGGTGACCACAATAAGGTTCCATCCTGAGCATCGCAAAAGTAAGAGAACACAAAATTCCTGCAAGCGGCTGAATGGAGTGTTTGATGCTCATAGAAGAGCTAGAGAGCAAGGCTCTAAAAAACCACCTGGAATACATCATACCATTCAATTATTTTCTCCGAAACCGTCCCATCGTTCTAACGATAGAATTGATTGGCTCAACTGAAGCTTAGGAATGAACAATAGACAGAATCAATGATAAATGACACCAGCATCTATCCAATTTAGTTGTCTGGAAAACCAACAATCAAACCTTACTAACCCCGGGGCATTCGAAGAAGCTGCATTTCATCCAAGCATCAGAATAGACATAATTCACCACTAAAAATGCACATTATGGCTTAAAAGAAAATTTTACAAATTAAGTAAGTAATGATCAACTTAGTCTGACTGCAAAACATGGAAATGCAAAATAAAGTGAAGGTTCATCTAATGACTTTACATCGTTGTCCAAACTGAGATCTAACAGCTGACTGAATCAGACACATCTGATGAGCATCAACCTTGCATGAAAGACAATTAAGAATAGAAGGGTTAGCATACTATATTTCAGCAGGCATTTACAACGACATGCTGTATGACAGAAAGGTAAACTCAATGAATTCGTACCATGAGAAGTTAATTTGGCTCAGCGAAAAGGGTTAAAGCAGGATGGCTTGAGCAAGCATTATTTTCTGATAAAAGAAAAAGAGGATGACTTATTGCCAATAATAAACATCTAAACATGGGAAGTAAAGAGCAAGAAATATGAAGAAGTAAATAACGATGAAGTAAACACCTTCTGATTCCATTCGCAGCCAATCTTGCCCGCATATTAATGCTTGTCGAGTATCTGGATTAAGTGAACTCCGATGATGCTCAAGCACTCTGCCTTCATTGCTGAATGCCAAATCTGGTGCAAGAGTAGACATTGGAATCGCCAAAATATCGCGTGCCATCATAGATAAGATAGGGTACCTTGGCGTGTGAACTTTCCACCAATTCAATATGTTGAAATCATAATTGCGTGGGAAGACTGTTTCCTCTAAATACTTGTCCAAATCTGTTATTACGTTCTGACTTTGTGAAGTTTCGTGGAGAAACTTGTCAAAACCCCTTAGTCTATCTCTAGTACCATTACTAGTACTGGCTAAGCTGCTGCCAGGCCAAGCTGAGATTTGATCAAGTGAAGTTGAGCCCATAGAGTAATCATTGAAAAGTTCCCTAATACCCTCAGAAACTTTATTGATGTGGTCTGGCGCATCACCACTGTAAATTTGCGGATAGTAGTACTCCACCAACTTCATCTTGAATCGGGGGTCTAAGATGGCTGCTATTGCTAAAGCCAAACCACACTTGCTCCAATATTTATCAAACTTGGTTTTCATCTTCAATGCCATAGAACTAATGAATTCATCTGGACTCTTGCACCATTCAATTAATTGGATGTGAATGTCACAAATCTCAGGAAAATATAAGTTTGCAGTCGGATATTTGTTACAGGAGAAAACATTGATAACTTCAACAAAAATTTTCATATAACCAGTAACAGAACCGGCCCATTCCCACTCCATCTCAGATAAAGCCATTGTGTAGTCAGGGTCATGCTCTTGCAGGTGGGAAAAGGCATCCCTGTATTCTAAGGCCGTTTCAAGCATGAGATATGTTGAATTCCATCGCACTGGACTGTCAAGAAATAAATGCTTCTCGCAGTTAATTCCAACTTTCTGAGCAATCTCATTGAATTTTCCTTGGGTAGCTAGTGAATTTTTAATATACCTAACACTTTCTCGAACTTTTTGGGTCACACCTCGTAGTGCTTCAACAGAATCTTGAGCGATGGATTTCAGAACATGTGCTGCACAACGCACATCAAACAATTCACCATTCTTTAGAAGAGGCTTGGTCTGAGAGAGCCAGTCTCTGATCCTACATACTGTACCGTCATAGGTGGAACTATCATCAAATGTCACCGAAAACAACCTACGGTCAATCTGCCAATCTGTCAAACATTTAATAACATCATCTGCAATTGTGTCATCTGTATGAGAAGGATCCAATGTTATGAAATTCAGTATCTTCTTCTGTAACTTCCAATCCTCGTCAATATAATTTGCTGTCAAACACAAGAACTCCGCATTTTCAGGTGAACCCCATATATCAACAGCAAGGTTAATTCTGCCATGCAAATTATGTATCATCTCAAAAACCTTCTGTTTCTCTTTCCCATAAATTGTCATGCAGTCTAGCTCGATTGCACTATTAGGCATTACCTCAAACAGTGGCTGAAGATTCTTAACAAATATTTT